ATACAGATTTGCTCAATAACTATCTGAACTGTGCACTCATAGTGGAGTACTAGAAGGAATGGGAACTTCTTTACCCTGGAAATTCTGTTTATTTGGTGTATTTTGGTATAAATGCTGCAGGGCCCTGAGCATCAGAGGATATGTGTATGGCCCACACAGCCCTTTCCCAAACATGTCCAAACTGCCTTGATTCCATTACTTCACCTTAGAGACTTCTTTTTGCCTACACCAGGATGTTATGTTACTGAGTTTACTGCCATTGTCTCTTCTAATCAATCAACTGAACTTGACCCCTCAGGAGAACAGACAGCTAAAGATTCTGCCATTTCTTTTGCATGTTACACAGAGAGTCCTAGACAAAGGATGCATAGTGGGTATGGCTATAGGTGAATGCAGACTGTCCTAGAAACCATGACAAAAATGTGCTATCTGCTGTCTGCCCAACCATCTATCCCTCTTGTATACCACTGGGCAGATGAGGAGGAATTTTTTCTTTCTCCATGGTATTGGGACAAGTCACCTTGCAATCCTTGCTGGTACTTTATTTGTTTCCTCAAGTCTACTTGAGAGCCAAATAAATTGGCTATTCTCTCATCTTTATCTTTTGGTTCTACAGAAGCATAGGTCTTTGGTGGGCTTTCTATTCTTCTGCACTTGGGAACTTAAGGCCTTGGTCACTTAGGATTTTAGTCTGTATTAGGGTTCATTGACTCAGTCAATGGCTAGTACCCATATGACTCAGAGTATCACTGGGACACATTCAAACCCATCTAGCCTTCCTTTTAACCTGGACACCATAGAAAAGTTTCTTTTGTCAGCCTTTGCTACTGGTGACAAGGCCCTCTTTTAGTCTGACTTGATGAAGAAAACTCTAGCTAACGATGGTTGGTTGAAAAATTTGAGGGCTGCCAATTCGAAATGACTTAACATTATGAAAAACTTACACAATTACTTTTCTTTTTTATTGCAGCTACTAAATCATGATGAGGAGGGGCAGAGAAAGAATTTCAAAACAACCACCTTTTAGTTTTATTCTCCCAGCAGGGGCTCTGTGATCTCTTTATTAGACACAATATGTGTCAGCCACTCAACTCACAAAGGACAGGAAAGCGTGCCAAGAAAGGAGAAGCATTTTCTGTTTCCCTGTACAAACTTGAGATGAGCTCATCTGTGCTCTCTCCTTTCCATGACAGATACACCCATCCCTTAGCCCTCATCCTCTCATTTTCCATAGATGACGTCAAGCTGGTCTTATAGTATCTTTGTTGTGATCTTATAAAATCAATGACAACCAGAAACACTTCCCTTTTGGGCATGATTTCAGCAGTGATCTACACCTGGAGAGGCTCTCATCTGCATTGCTAAGTGGAGCTAACTGGTCCAGACGGAAGCAATTTACCCAGGAAACTACTGCTTTTCTTCATGATGCTGCCAGCACTATCCTGGTTAGGAAGGCTTCTGAGCAATGTGGCTCAGTGCAGACTGGCCAAGATGGTGTTCCAATCTTTGGCTATTATGAGTATACATCAAAAACTCTTCTCTACCTAGCTCCACGTACCTGTACATTAGCTAAGAGGTATTAAAAATGAGTTAGTTGTGCCTCTCCTGATGTTCTTATCCCAAGCCACCTCCCTTGTCTCAGTCTGGGTGCTTAAGCACTTTACAGATGGCTAATGCAGCTTCTCTAACTGCCTCAGAGACACTGAGAGAAATGGTCTTCACAAGGTGCTTGTGAGTATTATAGTCTCTGGGGGTGTCTCCCTGCTTTAAAGATTAGTTGACTTTGGTTTGATACTACAAATAGTAATTCCAGCTAACACCTGGGATGTGCTGGGCACGATTGTTCTAAGTACTTTATGTGAATGAGTTGATTTAATCATCACAGAATATTTCTGGGAGGTACTGGTAATTCTTATGATATCAGCAAGTTAAGAAGCTGCATGGGATCTTAAGCAGTGCCAAGTGTGATTCAGACCTATGCTCTGAGGCTCCCTGGATCGACACAGGGGGCACACACAGGGCCAAAGCCTGTACTTTTCTTGGGAAATTATTGGGCCACTTATTTATCTTGAGCCTCAGTTTTCTTTCTCTTTGACCTACACTTACACCGAAGCCCAGGAAAAACACTGCAATTTCTCCATGTGCACAGTAGCACCCAGGGTTTACAAGAATCTGACTGTAAGTGACCTTCAATGACTGAAGGACATTGGTGTTGAAGACTCAGGCTAAAAACAGCAGGGACACAAAGCTGGGCTGTTGCTTTTCAATCTTAGAGCTGTTTTCACTTTAGAAGAGCTAGTGAAAGGAAGCTAACATTTATTGTGTGAATTATGTTGCCAGCACTAGTCTAAGCTCTTTTTTGTTTCATTCATACACATACAAACATGCATATGTACACACATGCATACATATACATACACATAGATTATAAGATAATTACAACATCTCTCTCTTCCCTTTTCTTCCCCCAAACACTCCCACATATCCCTCCCCACTCTCCTTCAAATTAATGGTCTCTTCTTTTATTGTTATTGCATGTATATATGTCTATGTATACACACATATTCCTAAATATAACCTCTACAATCAATATAATGTTACTTGTATGTATACGTTCAGGGCTGAGCATTTGGTGCTAGGTAAGCAATTGGTGTGCTCTTCTATGGGGAAGACCTCCTCTCCTCCTAGCATTCCTTAGTTTAAGCTCCTTATCACACATACAATCTTAATCTCACACAACCCTGTGGATAGTGTTACTTTCACTAACACCCAAGGCAATGAGGTTTATACTTTTTTTTCAAGATCATGTAGCTAATAAGCAGAATAACTGATAATCAAATTTAGAAGTGTTCAATATTCATTCCCACCTCCAAACTCAAGTTATGTTTAGCTCATATGATATACATTGTGGAATAGCATCTTTGTTTTGTTTTGAGATGGGGTTTCTCTGTAGAACCCCTGCTGGCCTGGAGTTTGCTAAATAGTTCAGGCTGCCCCAAAACTCCTATCTTTCTGCCTCGGCCTCTCAAGTGGTGGGATTACAGGTGTGAGCCACTATGCTGCACTTGAGTGGGAACATACAGATTTCTCCATTTGAGAGAGACACATTTACTGCCTTCCCTAATCTGCAAGCATCTAGAAACACCAAACTCAAGTTTTCTTACTGAATGTTTCATAATATTGGCCGAGATGTAGATGATAACCACAGATAAAAGTTCGAACATGATGTGAAGGCAACACCCACAGTTTCAGAATTGCTGTTAGAGGAGTTGCTGAAAGGATTTATCAGCAGACCTGGACAAATGTGGCAGCTGAATGATAGGGACATAGTGTCTGTGGTCATACTTCATCATGCGGCCCCCTTCCTCCCCGCTTCCTTGGTGCCTCTCTAGCCCCTCTGTTTCTCTTCTCTGGCTTTGAACTTCTTGGCAGCTTTCAAAAGCGTGCCTTCAAAGAGTTGAAGATGAGACTGATGTTACAACAGCCTTGTTTAACACCAGACAAGTTTCCATTCATTGTATTAAATTCGGGCAAACAAGGGTATTTAGTCCATGGCAGAGCTGAGCTGTATCTAACTCAATATAAACAAGAGAGTTAATCCACCACTGACCGGCAATTGGAAGCATGTCAACAGTGCCACAAGAGTGTGGGTTGGAGAGTAGGTAGCAGAAGAGATTTTAAAAGATTGTTGCTGAGAATCTGGGCTCAGTAGAGAGGGAAGAATGAAGATCGAGACTGGAATACATTAGGGAAAAGAAAATGTTTTTTTTTCTTTCTCTCTGTCTGTCTGTCTGTCTGTCTGTCTGTTTTTAATTCACCCTAAGGCATCTTAGCCTGCCTTCTTCATTATCAGCTTTCATCTCCCTTGCAAAGCTGCTACAGGTCCTTTCCAAGATTCAGCCTTAGGTCATAGGGGCAGAAATACTCTTGCAAAAACAGATATGAAAGGGAGTAGCATGTGTGACTAGAGTACAGTGTGACAACATAATCCCCACATAGATGGATGAGGTCAGTGTGGGTGATGCAGGCTTTCCTAGTATCCACTGAATCATCTGATGGGAGTAGCAATTGAAAAGAATAAATACAAACACATGCAACACATTGCCACAAAGACTGTTGGACCAGGTCTAAGAAAAAGGATCCTGAGTCTTGATGGGATCAGTGGGGCAGTGGAGGTAATGAATTGTTGAGCTTTAGGAGACCTCAGCCCCTTCTTGTTCCTCACATTAGCTACCCAGAGGTGTGACTTCAGGTTGCCTGGCCTCTAAGAAATGAGGTTTTGGCTCAGTCAGTATCTCAGGTCTCTTATGGTTTCAAGGGAAAGGATTTGTCCCAGGTCAAAAAGTTTTATAAAAGGACATTGCTTCAATACCAATTGGAAGGCATTGTACTCTGAGTGTTGGTGATTTTAGTCACAATGTACAGAAAGTTTTGTTTAAACTGTGTATATGGGAAAAGCATTGGTAAGAATACATTTGAGCAAAAATCTAGTTTGAACAAAGCAGGATCAGAGAGACGTTCTGGGAACCACTCTGTTCTAAGCTATGACTACAGAATTTTAGTTGCCACAGCCTAGAAGTCTCTCTTCTGTCTTTTGGCAAGAGTTGGGAAAAGGGGAAATGACATTATTTCCAAAGAACATTCAATAATCATAGTTCACACTTCCCATGTATTCCCCATTGTGCCATGTACCTGCATTCATAATGTTTGCTTATTTCTCTCTGCTCTATTTCCTGTTTTCATTTACAAAAAATCCTATTCACCCAAACTCTTAACACTTCCTCATACACATAAAATGTTCCTGCCTACTTTGGTTTTCAGTTGCAATATTTTATTCTCCCTCATGCTAAACTTCATTTCTATTATTGTTATAGATTGCAAAGTTCCTGAGGGTAGGATTGGGGTCACATTTATCTGTGCATCCTAGGCATTAGTGACATAGTGTAGGCATTTAGTCATAAAGATTTCTGAATAGAACTGGATAAGGGTTTTCAGGTTACCTGCTAATGTGACAGCAATGGAGACAGAGTCATATCCCAAGGCATTTGTGGCATTGCAAGTATAGAAGCCCACATCAGCTTCCACTGGTGCCAAGATCTGTAAGGAATCATCTGGCTGTAGAAGAATCCTGGAGCAACAGAAAAGAAATGTAGACCTGGTCAAGTCAGCTGACTTTTTGGCATTCATTATAGGGAAGGCATGCGGGGTGTGCTGAGAACTATGTTCTAACAACTCAGAAAGACAAGGCAGGATATTCAGGAAACCCAGGCTCTCTTGATTTGATTGGCCTGTTGGCAGTCTCAAACGGGAGTTTTGATTTTTTTGAAAGCTTACAGACTACCTGATCTAATGCTATTAGTTGGGACAGTCAACAGTTGTACACCGAATACATACATCATACAACATGAGAGAGGATGCTAAAACAAATGCCCGCACAGATTTGGGGAAAGGCTTATTAAGGAAAATGAAAAGTTACAAAGGAGGAGTGGTTCCTGATCGAATGGTAGAAGAGAAGCATCTATTGAACAATTATTGACAAGACGATTATCATTTGAAGGAAATGATATATCTTTCAATTCTAGGCAGTAATAGAAACCTCTTTTGTTTTCATTAACCTGTAAACATGGGTGCAGACCACAGGTCATATTGCTTTCATCTGCCACAGTATTACAGAGGGCTTTCTTCAGTGAAGATGCCTAGTATAATGAAGTAAAATTTGCCCTTCATGGTCATGGACAGACACTTCCAGAACAGTCACATGATACTTCAGATATTTTTGCCTATCTAAAAAGAATTATAAGAGTTAAATTGTGGGCACCTATACAAATGGATGGAACCAGAAGAAACCATCCTAAGTGAGGTAACCTGATGGGGGAAGTCTTCCTGTGTGTGTGTCTCTCTTAATGGTTAATGAATAAAACACTGTTGGCCAATAGAGAAGCAAGATAGGCAGGACTAGGGGAGAAGGAAGATTCTGGGAAATGTAATAAAGAGGAGTCACCATGTGATCCCAGGAAGAGAGGACACATGCCGCTGGCATCCTCAATAAGGTAAGTCTATAAAATATCTAGATTAATGGTTTTGGTTGATATTTAAGACAGACCTAGCAAATAAAAAATCCTAGTCATTGGCCAGCAGCATTGTAACTAATATTAATCTCTGTATGTTATTTGGGGGACCTAACATGGCAGTGGAATTCAGGCGGCTGGCAGAAAGAGTTATTGTTGCAGTAACCCAGTCACAAAAGACAAACATGGTATGTCTACTATCCATATATGAGTGAGTACATAGAGCAAAGGATTACCAGCCTACCATCCACACCACCAGAGAAGCTAGGAAACAAGGAGGACCCTAAGAGAGACATACATGGTCCCCTGGAGAAGGGGAAAGGGACAAGATCTCCCGAGCAAATTGGGAGTTGGGGGGAGGGTAGAAGGAGTTAGAGAAAGAGAAGGGGAGAAGAGGAGGGGGGGGGGGGAAGAAATGAGGAAGCAGGAAGATAGACTCAGGGAAAGAAGAAAAGAGAGCAAGAAAAGAGATACCATAAGAGAGGGAGCCATTATAGGCTTAAAGAGAAATCTGGCACTAGGGAAATGTCCAGAGATCTACAAGGATGACCCCAACTAACAATCTAAGCAATAGTGGAGAGGCTACCTTAAATGCCCTTTCCCAGTCATAAGATTGATGATTACCTTATATGTCATCCTAGAGCCTTCATCCAGTAGCTGATGGAAACAGAAGCAGAGACTCACAGCTAAGCACTAAGCTGAACTCCTGGAATCCAGTTGTAGAGAGGTAGGAGTGATGAGGAAAGGGATAAAGACCAAACTGTGGAAATCCACAGAAACAGCTGATCTGAACAAGGGGAAGCTCATGGACCCCAGACTGACAGCTCACAAACCAGCATAGGACAGAACCAGGCCCCCTGAATGTGGGTGTCAGTTAGGAGGTCTGGGCAGACTATGGGGCCTCTGGTAGTGGAACAGTATTTATCCATAGTGTACAAATGGACTTTGGGAGCCCATTCCCCATACATGGATACTCTCTCATCCTAGACACATGGGGGAGGGCCTAGGCCCTGCCCCAAATGATGTGATAGACTTTGATGATCCTCAGTGGAAAGCCTCACCCTTTCTATGAAGCAGAGGAGGGATGAGATGGGAGGATGCGAGGGAGAGGGAACTGGGATTGATATGTAAAATAAGGTTGTTTCTAATTTAAATAAAAAAAGAAAAGGAAAAATTTGTGGGCACTAAAAATGAACTTCGACACCCAATTGCTATCCACTATCTTTAGATAGATAGTAGATAGATAGATAGTAGTCTATCCACTACTTTCCCTTCCTAGATTTATACCAATTCTAAGACTACATGCTCTGCCACAGATTAACGATGGAATGATTAATGATGGCAGGTGCCTTGAGTCTGATGGTTCAATGACTCAGCTGACAAAACCTAGAGATGAGAATCTAAAAGAGGTAGAGAGACAGTGTGGGAACCAAGATATCCAGGGCCTGGAGCAGGCAGGGTCTTATATGAACAGAATATTCATGCCACAGAAAGGCATTTGTGACCTCTGAGGACCAGTTTTTCCCCCACCTTATTTGTCCTTTCCACTTTTCTAGTTTCAAAACACCCAAAGAATTGGACACTAGTGTTAACATCCATTCCTAGGAAGCAAGCAGGCACCAGGGGTCACTTGTTCAAGGAAGAGAAGGACTCTGAAGGCCTGGCAGTTAATGGAATGCCAGGAATCAGGTATCTTGCCCCAGAAACATTCTCCAACTGGATATTCACTTTGTTTCCTTTACTATGTCCCTTTCAGTGTCCCTCTAGACTTAATGGCTTTGTAGTTCAGCACCACGTCTGGTCATCTCTCATTTTTCTAAGGTGGACAACCAGTCTTGTGACAAATGATTCTCCTCAGCTCTTCTGCTAGCTGTCTGCCTATTATTGTGTTAGTATTTTTACCTCTGTCAGAAGGCAAGAGTAGGACTGCATCCCCCAATCTAGCTATATATGGGTAATTCTGTTTAAAAAATAATGGAGAATAAAATAGGACATACTAGCCAAATGGAAGTCTTGTAGTGATTTCCACCTAATTTAGTACAACTCTTAGACCATCACTGATATTTCTGGGGATAGTCATGCTTTTGTAGCATCCAGCAGAGCTGCAACTGCATGGGGAATGACAGGAGAGCAACAGGAGATTGCGATGTAACTCATCCACTCATTCACTCACACATTCGTTAACCTTTGGATATTTTTCTCTAAGTCAGACAGTTACATGTGAGTTTACTACAAAGATGATAATAAGAGAAAGATGGCTATGTAAGTTATTATCTTTGATAACAGCATCACTGTTTTCTAAAGGAATCTTATGGGATGCAGCATAATGCAACAGCATTGCTAAGTCTCTTCAGGTGCGCAAGCTGTTTTAGATTTAAAAATTGGAAAAAATAGTAAAAAGTGACTATGATTTAAATCTTTATGATGTTCCAGGAATATGCACACTTCTACACAATGGCTTTATAAGAATAGCAAAAGCAGACGGCTCCAATTTAAATAGAATGTAGTGGATCATATTCAGTTTCACCTCACTGAGAAGGCAGGGGTTAAGGTTCAGTAAATCCACAAATCCATTAGCCTGGTTGCCTCCCTATAAGCAGCTGTATCTGTTCTCTCCTCACAGAAAGGATTCCTCCATATTTTGGAGCAGGAAGCTAGAAGATTGTTCTTTTGAACTTCACTTTGGTCTTTTTGGGATCTAAGTACTGGTCATTGGCAAACCTTTTGACTTCCTACATTGCAATCTATCAGCTACTAAAATGTAAATGCAGTATGTTTCCTACTTAGCAGAGAAACTACTATTCTAACGAATAACGCAGAGACTTCCAAACCACTCTTTGGTATTTCTATTCCCAGTATCTCTTGTTAATAATGCTTGATTCTTTTTGTTTGTTTGTGTGTGTGTGTGTGTGTGTGTGTGTGTGTGTGTGTGTGTGTGTGTGTGTGTGTGTTGGATATGAGGAAGGAGAATGGTCACATGACATTGGCTAATGTCTCTGAGTTTATTAGATCTCCATATTCAGGCTCCTTTTCCATAGGACTGTTATACTTATCTGATCTTTTTGTTTAATGTGAGAAGTTTTATTAGAAAGGGAAGGGGGTGGAGAGAAGAGGTAAAGAGACACAGAGACAGAGAGAGGACAGAAGAAAAGAGGGGGACAGGAAAATTCCTGTCTATGCCAGGGGAACAGTGGAGAAGAGAGAGGGGAAAGAGCTACTTATCTGATCTCATACAAGTGGCACAGCCCTCACAGACCCCATAAGGGGCTTCTGAGCTTGATACACCCCTCTTTCCCTCTTTTCTTGGGTAAAGTGTATTTTTCATAGCTACATCAGTTGCTCTGAGGACTGAAACAGCTGATTAAGCTCTAATGCCTAATCCCAAGCATAAGCCTAAATCTGAAATTGGAAATGAATTCCTCTATAGACAGAGGAGATGAAAAGAAGGAAGGAGATCCATTATAGTCGGCACAAAAATTGTTGTGGAATTATTATTTTAACTGTGTAAAAGTGTGTTACATTTGTTTCTGCTGCCTTTGCTAATGATGCAAAGATGTGTTACATTTGTTTAACTAAATAAAGTTAGTTTGGGGTCAGGAGGTTGAGTCAGCAACTAGCTGACAGGAAGTAGTAGGGAGGAACTAAGTGTATTGAGGGGTCTTTAGTGGGGATTGGGCAGGAGGACAGCCATTTATTCAGGAGATGCTGATGTGAGCAAGGAAAGAAGGTTAGCTACTTGCTATTCAGCCTCTCTGAGCCAGCAGGATTTCACCTCTACCTCTGAATCTTGAGCTCCATACAAGGATAGAGATTTAGATAAAGTTCCCTTTAGTGGCATGATAGAGCTGGTGCCTGAGAGAACAGAATTCCAACCTGGCTGGAGGCTCATGTGGTGAACCACTGTTGGTGGCTGCTGAGTTGAAATTGCTGCTTGGGACAGCAGTTGCTTAAGGTGCAGCCACTGTATTGAATGTAAAACAACACAAAAATCTCCTCTAAACTAGGGAAAGAACAATGAAGATGGGAAGAAAGAAATAGTGATCATGAGATTGACATTTGT